CCAAGCCCCTCAAAACCCCTTGGGTCTGTGCCTACTTATCTTTATGATGCTCCTCCTGTGTTCTAGTTGTGTTAAATTTCCCTCTAAGCAGCTCTCCTGGGCTGGATTCTGCGGAGTCCCTCTGGTGCGTGTCACTCCGTCGCCATCTTCCCGGAAGTCCTAAAATCCATTTTTAATGTTCAGACTTGGATTAAGCCTCTGGTGAATCCCTCTGACCATAGTTGAAGGATGTAAATAGCCTTGAGGTCATACAGAGAGCATTATAAAATCAATTATGGCAGATATAGTTAGGTTAAAATATAACGCCCTATCATTTGATCTCCCTCTTGATCTATTTTAAAGTTGTTTTCATTTTTAATAGTTTCTGTTTTCTCTTTGATTCAGGTTTTTCCATATTTTGACTAGTTATTGTTGTTGAATTTTTTGTTTGTTTTCTTTGTATGATTTTGTATAATTGTGTTTTCTTTTATATGATTTCTGAATATGAAATCCAGGATAGGTAGATCTGTAGAGACAGTAATTGGATAGGAGCATGGCAGAGGAGGTTGGGGGGAAATGGGGAGCTAACAACAATGAGTATGAAAAGAAATGTTCTGAAATGGACTGTGGTAATGATTGAACAAGTCTTCTTAATATTATTGCGTGATTTGTTTGTGTATGTGAAGTATATGCAAATGAAAGGTTTTTTTAAAAGAATGTTACTCCACTGACTTCTGGCCTCTGTTATTTGTTATGAGAGGTTAGCTGTCATTCTTGCTATTGTCCAGACACATAGTAAGCACTCAGTAAAAACATGTTATTGAATTTAAAAACATAACTAATATTTTCTGATACATGGTGTAACATTCTTTTGAGAATACTCCACCACCTCTTAGTATATTAACTGGAAGGAAGGAAATCAACCAGGTAATTTTTGCAGATATGAGTATAAAGTGCTTACTTAATTAATTTCAATGCTTCTCAGAACCCTTAATGATTCTAATATAGCTGAATGATTGAACTACCCTTACATTTAACACATTGTCTTTGTTTTTAAATAAATATTTGTTTTTTCTGAAAGATGTTGAATGTTTAATGTCAGGGATGAAGAACTTAATGTAAGGGATGAAAATTTTAATGTAAGGGGTGAAGGGAATACTTTGGGCCTTTCACAAAACTACAAATTCTTAGGGAGAAGTTTTTCTATCTCTTGTAGAATTATTTTTCTTCTATAATCATTCAGGGTCTCATTCTTTATGTTGGAACAAAGACAAAACAATACAAACCAAAAATTTTGATCTGACACAACCTTAGTATACCCCGGTATTCTTCTACTTGGATTAATTTCTTGGATATATCTTCCCATACTCCTCTCCGTGGTTGTACATTGGTATTGTTATATTTGATTTCTTGATAATATCTTAATTAAGCAATTACCCATATTTGTAAATTTTAGGGTTCAAACTTAGTTTCATTTCCCTTTCTCTTTGTTTTCTTTTTCTTTCCTCTTTTTTTTTTTAGTTGAGTTATGCTCTGAACCATACAAACAGAAAATTAACATTGGAGCCTAAAATAACTGTCAACGCTAAGATCGTTGTGGTTGGAGCATCCAATGTTGGAATTTCCTTCCTAGAAACATTGGTATTTTGGTGAGTTGTTTTCACTTTATACAAAGGGAAAGGGGGCCCTTCTCTTTTTATGAATCCCTGGCGGCCTAATGGGTTAAGTACTGGTTTGCTAACTACAGGATCAGCAGTTTGAATCTGCCAGTGGCTCCATGGAGAAAGATGAGGCTACGTTTAAAGATTTATAGCAGCGGTTCTCAACCTGTGGGCCACGACCCCTTTGGGGGTCAAATGACCCTTTCACAGGGGTTGCTTAAGACCATTAGAGAACACACAAATATTTCACAATATGTAATTACATATTGTTTTGTGATTAACCACTATGCTCTAATAATGTTTAATTATGTTCAATTTGTAACAATGAAAATACATCCTGCATATCAGATATTTACATTATGATTCATAATGGTAGCAAAATGACAGTTATGAAGTAACAACAAAAATAATGTGATGTTGGGGGGTCACCACAATATGAGGAACTGTATGAAAGGGTCGCGGCATGAGGAAGGTGGAGAAGCGCTGATTTATAGCACTGAAAGCCTGTGGAGAAGCCCTGCTCTGGCTTATTCAGTCACTTTGATTAGGGATTGACGCGTGGCAGTGAGTTTGGTTTTTTGGGCTTCTCTTTCTACACAGTTAGTAGATCGCTCAAGAGAACAGACCTGCTTTTGTTTGCCACCCCCCCTCCCCCTGCCCCACAACGCACACAAAAACCTTACCTAAATGGATTAATAAATTAATGGAATATTCTAGACTAGAGGTTGACATACTACACACCAAGCCAAATCTGGCTTGCCATCTGTTTTATTAATAAAGTCTTTACTGGGGCATAATCATGCTCATTTGCCTATGCATTGTTTATGCCTATTTGTGAGCTAAAACAACAAAATTAAGTAGCTACAACAGAGACCATATGGCCTGCAAAGTCCAAGATATGCACGATCTGTCCTTTTCCATAGAAAGTTTGATGATGCTCTTCTATACTAGTGTTTTCCTTACAAGTCACATTATAAAAATCACCTCAGCATCTGCTGAAGATGTATATAGATAGAATCGGAAACCCTGGGGGAGCCTAGGAAGCTGGATTGTAGCAAGTGCACCATGGAATTGGGCATATTTAAACTTAATTTTTACTTTATGCACATATACTTTTAAAAATTATATAAGCATCAGGAAATTTTTCCAGTACACCTACACCCAGCACTTTGAATACCAGTGCATTGGGTAGATTCCATGGGGGAAATTGAAGCCTGCCACCCCCTTTTGACATTATCTTTCAGATTATCCTTAAAGCAGCTCCACTGGGGAATGACTGGGCTTTCTACTTCCATAAACAGTTACAGTCTCAGAAACCCAGAGGGGGTCGCTATGAATCAGCATCAACTCAATGGTAGTAAGTTTTGTTGTTGTTGTTGTTGTTGTTGTTTAAAACATTAAATCAGGTGTCCTTTCAGAGCTCAACTTCCTGATAGGCAATTCCCAAGGACTTCCAATGTCCCCATCTCTCCATTAGCTCTTTGACAAAAGGAGCCTTGGGTGAGAATTCAAGAAGTTTAATATAATTAATTAATTAATCAATAATTAATCGATATAATTAACTTTAAAAGAACACTTTCTTACACGTTTGGTGCAAGTTTGCACAGCAGTTGAGGTTCTCGTTGTACACTTCTACACGAAGTTTTCCGTGACAAGGGTTACGTTCTTCATCCTGTGGGAACATTCTCAGTATTCTCACTCTGGTTGTACTGGTTTTATTATTCTGGTTTTCTGCCCCCTTACATATGAATCTTTGTTTTAAAGTAATTGTATACCATTGGTCTCAGAGGTGACTTTGTTAAAAGGATACAGTATTACAGGTGATGTTCATTATTTTGTGATCCTATCTGTTTTTTAATCTAACGAGTTTTAACTCTAAGGAGTTACTTTCAGTTCAAGATTTGAAGAATATATCAGGGAAATAGTTTTGGGAAGTCCTCCAGTTCAGTCTTTTTTTAGATTATGAGACTGGTGTGTTACCTCCTGTGCTGAGGCACCTAACAGTCTTTTACTCCTGTTGCTTTTGTTTGTGAGGTAGTTAGTTTATTGTGCCAACCTGGCCAATAAACACATGTGGGATTAATTGAAGGGCGGAGGGATAAATGACTCAGTGACCCTTGCCTTTCTAGTTCTTGGGTCTCTTGCTTTCTGATGGTCAGACCAGGGTGCAATTGCCTTAGCCAGCTCCCTGCTTTAGCTGGCAAGGCTGGCTTCCTGCAAGACATCCCTGAGGAGAAGCCACATGGACCCACCCTGACCCAGCCCCAGGTGCTGGAGCACCTGTGTGGAGACCCCTATCAGCGCTGAGATGTTTACATGTTCACTGACTCTGCTTTCCTCCTGTAGTCGGAAGCATTGTGTCTGTTTTATGAGATGGAGGAGGACTTTGTGGATTGGTGTTGGACATGTGGGTTAATGGGTTAATGTTGGACTTATGGGCTTGGGCAGCACTGGGTTTGGATGTTTTCTTGATGTGCACTTAACCTTTATATAAAACTCTCTCCCATGAGTTTCTGTGGATTTGTTTCTCTAAAGTACCCAGACTACACATTATGGTACTGAGAGGTTTTTTAAGGAATTTGACTCTATTCCACATTTGACTCCCATCTTGTCAAAGCCCACTGGTGTGCCCATGATTCAAATTATCAATCAGTGTAGCCAGGTAACGTCTTGTTTTCCTGGTTTCAGGGCCGATGGGGCTGTGGTTTATGTGGGCTCTTTTCCTCAGACACGAGTTTCTTCTCTGAGCCTTTTGTTTCCTTCTTTCTTTGCTGTTCTGGATGTGCAGAGACCAGTAGTGACCGTGTGTCTCCAATAGCTACCTGCAAGTTTGGAGGAACTACTCAGCCAGCTAGGATGAACTATATTACGCCCATGTATAACTTTATGAACTATATTATGCCAATTAATTGAGATTTTTCCATGAGACTAGGATCCTAATCTTTAAGATCTAGAAAACCAAAACTATGAGGTATGTTATGTTTAAGAAGTATCCATAATTGAGCCCTATGTGCTTTATTATACATATGAGCATATGTGCCTTATTATATATATGAGCATGTGCTTTATTATATATGTGTGCTTTATTATATATATATGAGCATATGTATTTACAGTCATGTAGATGCATATTCCTGTATATGGATAAGCTAAAAACTATTGCTACAAAAACATAGAAATACTTATTAATAAGTTATCAGTTTTGTTTTTTTTTAATATTTTTTTAAAGTTATCAGTTTTTATTTACATATACTTCATCTAGGTCTATATACTTCTGAAAGTGTTTCTATCTCTTTAAACCTTCCCCAAAGAATTCTGAGCTGTTCCATTTATACCATGTCAAAATAGCAGTTGTTGCACCCGTTAGGCCCTACAGTTTAAGGACTCACATTGTGTTCCTTTAAAATAGTCTTTGGGCTGAGAAACAAAAAGAAGCTGGAAGAAGCCTTGGTGAAATTGTCCTGGGCTTGTCCTCATCAATGCAGTTTTAATTTCTGAAAACTTCATAATAAGCCCACAGAATTGCCCTGTAACCTTCAAGGTAATCCATCACGATCACTTCTTTGGAACCCAGCCCCACAGTTGTCATTATAACCTTCTGAGCTGACCTCTGCCTTGAGGGTAACTGGCCCTGTGATTCCCTTGGAGAAGGTACCGTTTTAATGTGACCTCCTTAATGAAGGCACCCTAAAATGACTAAGACATGTACTTCTGAAAGAATGTATCTGCAGTCAACCACTGATCACAAAACAAATTTAAGCAAGTTTTGTTTAAAAGAAACCCATGCATATATGAACTTGAACCATGATATTAACACTTTTAAAATATACCCTCCTATAGATTTACAGATGTACATCCATATGCATATATGCATACATGCATACACATGCAAACCCAAACCAAACTCTTTGTCATCTGGTCCATTCTGACCCCATGGGACAAAGTAGGACTGCCCTTTTATGTTTCTAAAACTTGAAATCTTTATAGGAGTAAACAGCCTTATTTTTCTCCCCTCAAGTTTGAATGGCTGACCCTGTGATTAGTAGCTCAGTACACAGCCCACTTCAGCAGCAGAGCTCCTTGTACATATATTCTCCGATTGCTTATAATTGTTTCAAAATTAAATGTGCCACAGTCTTTGCCAATAGCTTCCTATATCTTGTGTACACTTTACTGACATTGTTTACCTTTATTTTTCTTCCTTCCTTCCTTCCTTCCTTCCTTCCTTCCTTTCTTTCTTTTTTTAAAACATCCTGCCTTTAGGACTCATTGTTGTTGTAAGCCCTGGGAGTGTAATGGTTATGCGTTGGGCTGTAATCCTTGCGGTGGGCAATTCAAAACTACCAGCAGGGAGAAAGACTGGGCTTTCCACTCCAGCAACAAGTACAGTCTCAGGAATCCATGGGGATTGCAATGAGTCAGCACTGATTCGATGTCAGTGAGTTTGGTTTAGTGGTTGTTGTAAGTTGCTCCCAACTCAGAGTGACCCCATGGGAGAGTAGAAGGGCCCTATAAGAATTTCTTGCCTGTAATGCTTATGGGAACATATCACCATGTTTTCCCACAATGAGCCACTAGCAGAGTATAAATCACCTTTTGGTTTAAAAACTGAGTGTTTAACACTTGTGTCACCAAGTTTCCTTTAAAGAGCATAACCCAAACCCAAACCCACTGCCTTGGAATAGGAATCACTATTCCAGCTTATAGTGATTCTCTATAAGGTTTTGGAGACTGTAAATCTTTATAGGAGCAGATAGTCTCACCTTTCTCCCACAGAGGGCTGGTGGCTTTGAACTGTCAACCTTGAGATCAGTGTCCAACACTTGCCAAATAGTACCATCCGAATGAAAAGAATCTAGTCTTTTCCAAATATCTTGCTCAAGATCACATGAGAAACTCGAGTCACCATTCAAAATGACAGGAAGGAAGAGGTAAATAGGAGATGGGAAAAGGCCCCACAATCATGCCTCTGGAAGCCAGCAATGTTG